GTTTTAAGAGCTCGTAGTAAATCTTTGAAGGCTTTTTCTCTTCCACCACCATGTTTGTCTTCGACATCGAAATCACCATTTTTAAAACGTTGAAACCACTCCCGACACGTTCTTTCACTCAGAGCAGCATCACCGTAAGTTTCTGAGAGCATTCGATGCGCTTCAGTTGCATTTTTTATCGAATTGTAACAGAAAAGTTAAACTTCCCGCAAATGGCGAGAATTAGGCACATAAACGGACATTTTCAAGCGTGAATAATAGGAAAACAAGAACAACTGTCACTGAAACGGCGATGACAATTCGTTAGGCATTGTCCGCACTCACTTTAAAAGCATTATCATCTATGTATTTCAACCAGCCTCAGCCGGTACAGCCACCTATTTTAAAACGGCGGAAGCAAAGTTTTACACGCTTCGCGGGGATATCTAACCCATACATGGCGGCTTTTAGCCAACTTTTAAATCAACGAAGAGATGATGTGTGTTGATTATTTTCTCAAGGGTCTTGTCGAAGATTTCGCGCACGAATCCTCCGAAAATTGGCACAGTCTGTACGAGATAACCAGTTTTTTTCCCCCTTCACAGCGATACGGCAATTCTCATCGTATCAGCTTTTTTCATGACATTGTTGAAAACTAATAATTTCGTTGACGGGTGTACTTAGAAAGCATGTACGAGTACATAGATATGTATACCCCAATGACTTCTGAAACAATTTTCCATTACTTCCATTTTTGCCGATATTTAATTCTTTACAATCGACGTGTTTGTATATGAACTTTTGTTGTTGCTTTGCATGTGAAATTATAATGAAGTAAGAAAAAAAACTGCATAATAATAATACTTGTATGTATGTACATATACACATCACATATTATATGTATGTAATTTAATGAGCCATTACTGTCCACATCTAATTCAATATAAAATTCCAACAATTCAAGCGTTCAAGCGATACCTGCAGGTGATTGTTGATTGTTATATGTACACGTATGTATATGTATATACATATGTATATTTGATATGCAAATAATTTGTTGACATTTCGTACTTACATATGTACATATAAATGCTTAAATTTCAACAACACTTGGTTACGTAAAAGGTTTTGCATTATTTGATGGATCTTGGCCAGAGTAAATTTTCACTTCTTCACTTATGAATGGTTTAAAGGATTCTTCTTGCGCATAGTGGTAGTGCTTACACCAAGAACAATGTAAATATACAAGGGGATTAACAAAAGTTCAGTAAGTTGACCAGAAAAAAAAATTATTTTAGTATTAATTCCTTTTCCATCTTCTCCACATAATCGCCATTGATTTCAATGTATTTCTTAAGCCTTTAGATTCACTTTAAAAGCAGTCTTCAAAATCCGTCTTTTTAGGCTTATCAAGTCCAGCAAAAATCGCATTACTTATCTCCCCATTGCGATTAAAGACTTTATCTTTAAAACTTTTTTAATTTCTGGAAATAAACAGAAATCACAAGGTGCCATATCCAGGGAATATGTTGCTGGATGTATTTCTTTAAGCCCAAAGATCGTTACAAAATTACTCGTTATTTCATTATTGTGGGATGGCGCGTTGTCGTTATGTAAAAAGTAGCGCCACAAATCCTCTTTCATCCTGTTTTCCAACAAATTTTTTAAAACTTTTGTTAGGGCCTCTTCGATGTACCATTTTGCAGTTACCGTCTGACCCTTTTCCAGTGGAATTGGAGCTACGATTTTAGATTTTACGGGTGGATTTGGCTCCATACCATGTACTGCTGTTTGGTTTGTGGGTTAAAATTATATTTAGAACCAAGACTCGCCACCAGTAACGACTTTAGTAAAGTTGCTAGACTGGTTATTTTCGAATTTGTTTAGAACAAATTGAGCGAAATGCACTCGAGTCTCCTTTTAGGCTCCATTAAAGCGCGTGGCACCAATCGAGAAGATTTCTTCGTGTATTCCAGATGATTACTTAATATTCGCGATGCAGCAATCATTTCTTGTTACATCTTCAATTTTGGACTTCACCAGAGCTCCAGTGATGTTATTAGTGGTGGGCTTTGGTCGATCTTCTTAGGGCTCGTCCTCTACGGAAAGATGTCCAGTCTGGAATCTTCGGGACCACTTAGAAATAGTCTTTAAAAACGGTGTAATCGTTCCATATGCAATTTGTCATTCACTGAATATTTATATTGGCTGTGAATTCCGTCGAAAACCGAGGAGAATCACATGGCGAATTTCTGTTTGCGTTGGTGGTGGAATTTCGTTTGACCTATCCTCAGCTATATTGTGTTTTCTCGTCTCCATTTTAGCCGTTCGTTTTGAAATTTGAAAGAAAGACCAATAAAGCAATTGCAAAGGATTTGCTTGTTTTAGTTTTAACAAAAACAAATCCAAAGTCACCAACTGACCGAACTTTTGTTAATCTCCTCGTATAAATACATATATTATATATTATATATTTCTATAAATATTATATATATATGTATAATTGTACTTTATTTACTAATATAAATATATTATACAATCACAATTTTTATTACCTCATACACATATGTATATACGTGTATGTGCACATACATACGTATGTAAATTCATTCGGACTCGTTGCTACCAAAGATTACGATAATAAAGATAATATTTATGAAAGTAAAAAAGAAGGAAATAGAAAAATAAAAACAAAACAGACGTTAATTTGCTGATAATTCAGTGAAATGGTAAACATGAAAAATTTATTAGAACAATCGCATTAGAAGTCGCATGGCTGATTGGCTAATTGAATGAGCGACACAACACTTGCTGTCTGCTTTTCAGCTGATTTCACAGTTGTTATTTTTTTGTTGTTATTACACCTTTTATCTTTTTATTATCAACGCTATAAAGAACTATCTTGGGCAAATAAAATTAAAGCCGTTGCCTTAGAAATTAGTGTCGAAGTAAGCGCAAAAATTTTGAAGAAAGAGAGAGAAAGAGAGGAAACTTCCTACCTGTTGAGTACCTCGAAACAAAAAACGACTCTTGAGTTGATGCGGCTGCTGGTCGCCACGAGCACATTTAGGCCAATAGGCCCATTTTGATACCACTCCTGCCTTCTGCCGTCACCTTCTCAGATGATCACATCAATTCGTGTGCCTTATAAAGGCAACCCGATTTCCAGTATTCGCTGAAGCTATTTTAGCAAAACAGACGAAAAAATGTTTTCCAAGGAACTTGTGTCGTGCAAATGTCAAGCCTGGACAGTGGCAGAGGTAGGGCTCGATTGTCTCCTCCTCTTCTACGTCCCTGCAGTTGCGGCAAAAACGACACTTGGGTAGCTAAAATCTGAGTCAACTCTTTTACGTCGAATAGGCTGTTCGTAAATACACCAAACCAGCAATTAGTGCGACGTAGTTGAAGAAGCTACGAGCTCGTGAGTATTGTAACAGGAAACCCTTAACATTGGGTGTGTCGGGATGAAGTCTTTATAGGTTTTGTCTACTACAATATCTAAATCTAAGTTGAGCCGCTAGAGGCAGCTCGAGCTCTTCACTGGAAGAGTGTTCAGGAAGGTGCAAATGGACTCTCGATAAGAGACGTTTAAAGCCTGTTGGTTAGCCATCGATTGTGCTGAATGCAGTTCTCAAAGTCTAAAAGTTGTGCATGTGAGAAATATCCGCTGGGATGCTCCCTTAGGGATCATGCTCGTAGCCATCTAATGGAAGCTGAACACCCTCCCAGGCAGAGAAAGTGAGTACTCTGTGCCCAATGAGTCCCCGCACGAAACTAAAACCGCTTTGTATGCTCATTTTAACCCACTCATCTAACTTGATCTCGATGACAAAGATTAATTTTGTCTGCTCCAAGGCGGGTTTGAGTAAGCTGCCACAGCAGCAACTACATAATTTTCTAATCATCAAAGCCGCAGTTGGTATTAATCTGCGAGAACCGTCGTAATTTGATACCATACCGTTTCAGCTTTTTCGCCCATAACGTGCTCGGCAGATAAGACTCCCAGTTTCGACTTTGGACCCTTGCTAACCACAACGAAATCCTTTGGATCGGCTTTAAGAAATTTACGGAATTTAACATAACAAAATATCTGAACCCTGTGGGAGCATTATTTGTTACTGAAACCAGGAAAACCAGTTATTAAAGGGTGGTTATTTCGAACGAATAATTCCCCAACGATAAAGACACTTGAATCTCTGCTGTTTTTGAACTTGGTTAGCTATCTTTGCTCAGCATGGTTTCCGAAAACTGCAGCATCATCGCATTTAACGTCATATACGTCCAAGGTTTCAACCAAAACCGACCCTATATGCGAACTACCCTAGTATCACTGGATTTATTGTTGTTATAGCCACAAAAGTATTCCTGAAATTAGTATTTTGAAGACTTTTGTGGGAGTGACAACCATGGGCTGGATAAAAATCTGGATCATTCCATTATAAAGACCCGATTTTCACGAAAACTATTGAATTTTAGTCGCCTCTTAGGACAGACATGCCTTAGCGCGTGTAAATTTTTGAACTCGTATCCCGCAGGAAAAGGAGTTTGGCTTGTCATGCTGTGTTACTGCCGACTAATGCTTGGGTTGAAGAGAATGACTGAGACTATGAATTATTTGTGTGATTGCCTCAAAAAGTCCATATCCCATAACTGTTTAATTATATTTCGAAGAAATATTCCCTACCTGATGGAGTTGTATTGATATAATACGCTGGTACTTCTTAAACTTGACTTCCTGGCATCGCTCCGGTCTTTCACGCTTCATCACGGTTAGTAGCCTATTTTCCCCATCTTCCGGCTTGAAACAGAACCACCTCCCAAGCACATTATAGGAGACTAGACACAGCACAGCCTGTCCAACATTCGTCTCTCTTTGGTCTGCACATATAGAAAGAAGCAACACGTGACTTGCGCTTACTCTTAAATGAGTTTGTTGACATTGATTAATCTTTTTTGTCTGTTTTTTTTTTGCCCAACTGATATAGTTAAAGTTCTCATGACCGTATTATTTCTAATTACAGACTCCACACCGCAATATCTCCCCCGCTATGCTCTGCGACGACTCATTGGTGGGCCAGCGAATTACCATACATCGTTGGGTGGCACACAAATTGGTATGCAATCAATGTTGTCCTACCGCTGGAACAATATCAGTGAATCACATTATCACGCTGAGAGCATTGGCACATACTATTCAACACGAAAATTCCATTTTTCGCATCGTTTGAGTGAAAATGCCTCTTCCAAAGTGGAAGTTACAGTTAAGACGATGAAGGAGAAACAAAAAGAAAAAGTGGAAGAGATCATAAAGGAAGCAAGTGCACCAGCAAGCGCGAAAGTGGTCGGTGAGCCTGTAGAACAGAGTAAAGCAGTTGCAGCGGAGCCACCGAAAGCGGTGCTCGCAAAGAAGCCGCTACGCACGCGCATTTGGGAGGAATTGGTGCATTACTATCATGGCTTCCGACTGCTCTTTATCGATATAAATATTTCACGTAAACTACTGTGGCGTGTACTTAATGGGAAAACATTGACGCGTCGTGAGAATAAACTACTTTTGCGCACTACCTCCGATCTATTCCGACTTATACCCTTTTCGGTGTTCCTAATTGTGCCGTTTATGGAATTGTTGTTGCCGTTCTTCATACGTTTCTTCCCCGGCATGTTACCGTCCACCTTCCAAACGGCCAAAGATCGCGAAGATAAACTGAAGCAATCGTTGCAAGTGCGTCTGGAGATGGCGAAATTCTTGCAGAAGACACTAGACGAAATGGCTGTGCAACATAAAGATCACAAGAGTGAAGATGCCAAGCAGTTCGCTGACTTTTTCGAAAAGATAAAGGATCCCAAGGAACATGTACCCATTGAGGAGATCATTAAGTTCGCCAAACGTTTCGAAGACGAAATCACCTTGGACTCTTTGTCACGCGAACAATTGTCCGCGTTGTGTCGCGTGCTCGAACTGAACACGATGGGCACCACCAACTTGCTACGTTTCCAATTGCGTGTCAAATTGCGTGCGCTTGCCGCTGATGATCGCGTGATTGCGCGTGAGGGTGTCGACGCATTAGATCTCTTTGAATTACAGCAGGCTTGTAAGTCACGCGGTATGCGTGCTTACGGTCTCACGTCGGATAAACTACGCTCACAGCTGCAGGAATGGATAGACTTGTCGCTGAATGAGAAGGTGCCACCGACCTTATTATTATTGTCACGTGCACTGCTCATCTCCGATGACACTGCGACGACGCACAAACTCGTGGAAACTATGCGTGTGCTACCCGAAGCGGTTGCCACAAAGACGAAGGAGAAGATTGGCGAAAGCGAAGGCAAAATCGATAATAAAACCAAGATTGAAGTGCTTAAAGAGGAAGAACGCAAAATTAGAGAGGAGCGTGAGGAGGAACGCGAAGCAGAGAAAGCCAAATTGGAAGAGGAGAAAGCGAAAGCAAGCGAAGAATTGCTCAGCAAAGTACCATTCATTGGCGCTAGTAATATGACCTTGACAGAAGAACGACAACTTGCGGAAGCAAGCAATAATATAACGTCGAAGGACGTGGAACTGTTATCTGACGCACTCAAATCATTGTCTACCGACAAGAAGATGATGGTTGAGAAGGAAACGCTTAAGGATCTCAAAGAGGAATTGGAGGATTACAAGGAGGATGTTGAAGAACTGCGTGAAGTGCGCAGTGTGGTGAAGGAACCAGTGCACGAGAGTCGCGCCGCCAAATTGCTCTTCAAGAAGGTGAATAGCATGATTGGACATTTGGACAAGGTGCTAGTCGATTTGGAGAAGAAGCGTGAAACTCAACACAAGAAGTTAAAACCAGTCACAGACGCCATGCCTGAAGAAATTATAGCCGGACCGTTACAAAGTACAGAACTCGTGGATGAAGATACCGTGCATATTGAAGAGCTGATGAGCACTATAAAGAAGGTTAGTGGAGTTCTACATATTTACTACAAGTGCTATATATACATATGTATTGTATATGTAATAAACAAACAATTCGTACTCTAATTACAGTTGCAAAAGACGTCGGATGAGACGCGTCTGAAACAAATCGAAAAGGTGCTGAGTAAAATCGATGCTGACAAGGATGGCATGATTACCGTGGATGAAGTGCTGAATGTGTGTAACTCATGCATATTTTTATTTTTATTCTTTTTTTCTAGTAGAAAACTGAATTATTTTAATTGCAGGTCGTTGAGGCGATTAGTCGCGAAAATGTCAATTTGTCAGACAAACAAATCGAAGAACTTGTCACTTTGTTAGACAAAGAGAATATCATTGAGGCGGAGGAACGTTTGGAGAAGGCTATTGCAAAGAGCATTAAACTGGCAGAGAAACAAATTAAAGATCAACAAAAACAGGTAGACGCACAGAAGGTCACAGATGAACTTAAAGATACTGCACCAGTGCTGAAGGATAATGCAAAAGATTTATCTGCAGATAGTCAAAAGAATATTCTGAAAACAGAGGTAAATATTTGTTATGCTAAATATGTTGTTATTGTTATTGTTGTTGTTGTTGTTGTTGTTGTTGTTATTGTTGTTGTTATTGTTGTTGTTGTTGTTGTATCAGTGACTGAAATCATCCTATATTTGTCGTCATGGTCATCTAAAGGGGAATCTAGGAAACGAGCTGTTTCGACGGGTTCGGTTTTTGCGGTTGTTTTTGTAATTGGCACTTTGTAACTACCGAGGTGCTCCTTCAATTTGGCGTATGCGTTTTGATGTTTTTCAACAAAATGGAGGAACCTGTGGCTTATTTCAAGTCAGAAATACACTGGGAGGGATTGATATTCTCTGCCGGGCGGCGACCGCAATTGGAAGAAGAATGACCTGTTGGTAGAACCGGCTGTCTTGAGAGAGTGACCTTGGTACAACTCAGGTCTGGATACTTTTGCAGGTTAAACTCCTACTTATCCAGACTCGACCCTAGCATATCCAACGTATAACCTGCATGTGGAGAGTCTCCGAACGATAATAACCACCTCTTCGCATGCCCCCTTAAACAGACTCATCTAGCCCCCCTCTCCCTTTGGTCCAATCCCGTCGAAACAGCTCGTTTCCTGGACCTCCCATTAGATGTCCTCGGCGCCTTAGATTAGTGAAACCTGTACCTAAGCGGGGTTGGTGAACCGCTACAATAACAACAACATCAGAAGAAAAATTAACATAATATTTTATTTAAAAAAAATTTTATTTTCTATAATAATTTTCTCTTACTTGAACCCTGACCTTCCGAATGGAAGCTGACTACCTGCAAAAGTATTCCCCAAATTGGTTTTCTGGCAATATTGCCGTAGTGACAGTCCTTGGCCGAATAAAAATCCGGATCGATCCGGTGTAAAGACCCGACTATCGCTCAAACAATTTTATTTTAGTCGCAGAGTGTAGGTGATTGGTATTGTGAGGGAACTCAATGCACGCAGGCTATACGTACGTTGGATATGTCGGTGTCGAGTCTGAATAGGTAGGAGTTGAGTCAACTACAGTCGACCTTAATTGTGTCAATATTACATCCATCTTGTGAGGCAGGCTCTTCATGGTCTTTATCTGATTCATTAGAGATTACGGACAACGTCCGCTGAGGGTGGAACGAAGGTTTGAAATAAAAAATGAAAATGAATGAACTCTGAGGGAACTCCCTGCTTAACTTTTCAAAGTTTTCAAACCAGATTTTGCCCCGGCAAGAGCCCTTTTTCATCGTCGATTTAAGCCCGCTTTTCATTATTTCAATCTTGAACTTCTCTAAAATGATTTAAGAATTTACTAAAACTTACAAAATTTATTTAAAAATAATTATTATTATTTTAATTGTGTTTGCCTTCAGGTCGCCAATGAGAAGAATCCCCTATTGGAGGCTGCGGAAAAGCAAAAGGAGAAAATCTTACCGAAAAATGATATATCCGCGCAAATCCCACAGCAACCACTGCCCGCAACACCACCACCACCACCAACAACAACGTCCCAAGTGAATCCAAAAGATAAAATGCTATGATTTGGCGCTGGTGATGCTAACGATAAACCCAAAACATAATTCCTCCTCTATGAAAGTCGTCACTGAGTAGAAAAAATTGAGAAAAAACAAATTACCAACTTTTTGGAGAAATTTGGGTACTCGTTGTTTGTGTAGTAAAATTTGCGGTGCGTCGAGTGTGTGCGTGCGTGTGTATATATATTTATATTAATGAAAAATAATGCTAATAATATTTTGAGGCTGACTAATTGCGGAAAACACACACTAAAAGAATGTAATGTTCCATGAAAAAAGTGTGAAGTGAATGATCGTTATTGCTGGTTGCCAGTTGATTGGTGTTCGTGGAGTATTGAAAAGGACAATTTTTGAATTAACAATTCGCTACAGATATTTGTGATTGATTATTATTTTGCTGAGTTGCATTTAAAAGCATTTGATATATGTATATAAAATTGAGCGAAAGCGCGCAATTGCTGTGGAATAATAATAATAATAAAAAAGATAATTATTTTCTTTCTTCTTATTGTTATTATAATTTCACAATTTTTTATATATACATTAAATGCTTTTGAATGTTTGCTTTGCAAAATCAATACTCTTGGATGAACTTAATTTTCCTCAAAAAAAAAAACTAAATAGAAATAATTCAAGAAAAATAGTTTTCTACACCAACCGGCGATCACGTGCTCAAAGCAACAACTACAATTTCACAAAAATCATTTAAGTGAACATGTTAAAATTATTTCTATACAGTCAGTCTGCGTGCAAAAAAAAAAATAAAAATAAAAATAAAAATAAAACTCTATCACTGAAATTTTGTGAGGCTGTAAATTTATAAAGAATAAAAAGCTACATACATTTATAATTTTGTTTAACTTTTAATTGCATTATAAAATCTCTTGAATTGCTAGAAAATTTAAATATTGTATAAATTTTGATACTACCTTGTTAAGAACATATGTATATGAAAAATGAAAGTTGGAAAATATATGCAGAATGGAAATCAAATCAAGGCACACACAATGTTACAATAACTAAATACATACATACATATGTACATAAATACCAATTATGAATTAAATAGAAAAAAATCAAGTATGAACAGCTTAAAAACATTTGGCGAAACAATTAATACTAGATTTTTAATTTACTATTTAAAATAAAAATGTTTAAGTAATAAAATATACGTGCTCTATACACATACATATATGATTAAATTTGTTGTGGAAAAGTGCTAAAAGCTTATAATAAAAACTTTATGAATGCATCTGTGTGCTTACACTGCAACGTCAACATATTCCAGGTGTTACTTCAAAGTAGTTTGCGTTCTGTGTAACTTTTTGTTAGTGCTAACTAAATTTTCATTTCTCTTATATAAAATGCGCATAAAGTGCTACTACTTGAGCTGTTTTAAGAATGTATGTTTTTATTTTAATTGCAATTATTTCCAAATAATTTATTTATTTTGCAATGCAAATTATTTTCGGTAAATTTCTGTTACAGTTTACTAAATTATAATGCAAAAATGTAAAATTTTCTAAACTTTAATTAATCATTAATCTAATGTAATATATATTTTTTTTTTTTACTTAGTCCATTTTCCGTTTACACGAAGTTGGGCACAAAAATATTTAACGAGAAAATAAGAAAAAATACATACGTACACTATTCGTGCTGCAGTGTATTTGTATATGTAAGCGCGCTCGGATTTGTTGCACATGAATTTATGTTTTATTTTTAATTTGTTTGTAAATTACAAACTTGTATATTATGAAATTGTAATATTATACAAATTGAGTACAATTAAAGTCGATTATTAATAAACAAAAACAAAAAAAAAACGAAAGAACAACAAGTTTTTTCTTTCTTCTTCCACTAAAATTTCGAGGTAGTAGGTTTTGTTCAACCGTGAAGAGTTTAGATTAATTTCGTTCTTCCTTACGCTTTTTCTATATTTTCTTATGAAATAGTATAATCTTCCCTGAATAAAGAGACACATCCATAAGAAAGAGTAAAGTGGATAGCACCGTGTACATAGAGCTGGAAGGTATCGGTTTCTATAACTGACGAAACACACCATATTTAAGCTTGGTGCATTAAATATTGTCGTATTGCACTATTGGATGGCCGCAATTGTCGAGAGGTTAGCAATGCGTTCTACCATTCGAGTCATGGTCCGACCAACACCTAAATTATAGAAAATTATTATTTTTTGCGTCTCGCCCTTCGGCAGGGAATGTCAAGCACTTCGAGTTTATTTTCGACACGAAAATCAAAGTTCCTCATAAAAATCCCTCGGCTGTACGGCGGCGGCTAATAATACACTATCCGTTTGTTGGAAAAAATCAAGTTGCATATAAAAAATGGAGGAGGAGCTCGGCCACGAATCGCTTCAGTAGCCGTGGTAATAGAGGCAACCCACAGGATGGAGCCCTTTCTCCTCTTATTTGGGGTATCACAACAAGTGGATGACGTCGCCCTCACGGCGATCTGAATATAAATTCCACTGAGGCCGATTTTTTGTTTTGAATCAAGCAAAGCGAATTGAAAAGATAGAAGCAGTTTCATGGTTACTTAATTCTGCATTAATAACTTAACCTATCTCAATGTATTCTGACAGCCAAGTTGCTATTTGGTCTCTTCAATGCATTCGTACCACCTCAAGGTGGCAATAAAATGCAGCCATTCAAAGAATTGGAAGGAGTACGAGCTAGCTAGTAGGGGAATAGTCCTAGCCACCGCGGTAAATTCTGCAACCGAAGTAGGCATACTTCTTTCCACGAGGAAATTATATGTTAAGATCGTCATTCAACAATAAGGTCCTTCTAAACAGGACCTCCATAAGCAACCGACGTAATAACTGTATACTGTGGGATGGGGATTCTGGGTTGGATTACTTTTCGAATAACTTTAATCGCAGCTATTGGAACATAGGCGAAGAGGAGTTCGTAGAGTATTATCTTAGACCCCTAGACCTAGATAAGTTGATTTTATTGGGAATGTAAAGAAATGTTTAGTGTCGTGCGTGGACTCATTGCTTCATGAGGACCATCGTTGGGTATGCCGGTATCAAGTCTGGATAAGCAGGAGCTTAGGCTACCACAATATCCAGCTCAAAAGGGTGGCAATATTACGCGGGGCTCTCGAGTTAGCTCGAGCTCATCGTTAGCTTTAGGTGGTGGTGGTTGAATTCCCATAATGTCAGTAACGGAAAGATATTTAATGGAGATGTTGCCAGACTCGCAAGACAGCCCGAGCTTCTCTTTGTTGTAGCTGCTTACTCTACCCCACCTGGAAAAAAACAAAGCTAGCTCATGTCGTCAAGGTCACCTAAAGGAAAGCCCAGTAAAGAAATTGCTTTGACAGATTAATACCAGATTGTAGCTCGTGTTCTTGTAACCACAGAAGCTTTGATGTTGTGGATTCAGACCGTAAAAAACGGCGGTTTCGATAAGTTGGTTTTAGGGGGCGTGAAAAGAGATGGTTAGTGTCGAGTGGGGATTAGTTGGGTATGTTGGCTTTGAATCTGGATAAGTAGAAGTTTAATACAACTCTCATGACAACCGGTTCTACGCACTGGAGTTGACGCTGGTTTTATCCGGCCAAGGGCTGTCATCCTTTCGGCGATCTAACCCCGTTTAGGTCAGCAGGTAACATTCTGGCTACTGTCACAATAGAAGGTTCTACGCACCGGAGTTGATACGCATTTTATCCGGGAAGGGTTGCCACACTTTTGGCGACCTAAACTGGTTTGATTAGTCTAAGGTAGCTCGTCTTGTCCAGCGGTTTTGGGGAATGTTGCGGGAGTAACAGTATAAAGACCCGACTGTCGCGGGAACTATTGGATTTTAGTCGCCTTTTACGACAGACATGCCTTACCGCGTGTAAATTCTTGAGCCCCTAACCCGCAGGGGGTGTCTCAGCACTGTAATTTGAATGAGTTGTGTTCTGCATACTCTGATTGCATTACATTGGGGAATAAAGGTTGCATCAGTTTTCTAGTAGATACTGGTGGAAAAATATTTCGCTATGTAAATGGTAGTCTTCAGGAAATTTCACCATTTCTTATCCCTCAGGCAGATGGCTCTAATGGAGGTAAGATCGGCGAGAGGCTAGGGTAAGTGCGCCTTCTTAGTCAACCAAGCTACGTTAAACCATCTTTCATAAAAAAAAGCATGCTCCTAAGCATCCTCGAAGGCATCATCTAAAAACTAGGAATGGTAAAAAGGAATGTTTTCAATAAATTAAATAGAAAATTCAATTAGATGCTTTAATGAATATCTCTTGGATATCAAGAGAACCGTTTTTATTGAATAAATATATTAATTACATTTCTCAACTCCTTTGGAAATGCGTTAATGCGAAGTACTAAAAGTATTTAACAAATGAATTGTTTACAAATCTACTTGTTAATGTTAATATTTAAAACTGTATAAGTATGTTATAAAAACATGTATGTATATATGTTGCGCAACTCATTTCGAGTGTCATGTTGGATACATAGTAGTAGATATAAAGAAATTTATATAGAATTTTTAATCTCTTGTAACAGCTAATAACTATTGTATTTTTTGGTCACATATACATACGTAAATATACCACTAAACTAATTTATATTAATGTATAATATTATTCATTCATTTGTTTTTTTTTTTTTGTTCTGTAAAAAGTGGGAAGCATTTTGAAATTCGAGTTTGATTTGCAAAGAATACGAAATGTGCGTTTAAATAACCGTTAAATGGTTAAAAGACGCACACAAATGGCTTATATTAAATATATGTGTATAGAATAAAATTAGTTTTCCTTCAACTAATTACTAACTCTGAGTAAAAATAATTGTAATAAATAACTTAAAATGATGTTTCGCCGGGATATTCGCTAATGAGCAGCTTTCTTGAACGCAAATATCCCTCAACTTGTTCGATATTCTCTTTGTTTGCTGTTGTTGGCATACTGTTTTGATTGTCGGACGTTACACCAATACCGGTTGCGGCAGCTGTCGTTATTAAAGGGGTTTTAATTTCGTTCTTCTCATATTCACTATTAGCAGCACGCTTACGTACGTTGTTCAGAGCGTATAATCGATTGCGATAATATGAATTGTGGGGGGTGCAACATTGACTGCCGCTACTCGTTGCGGCAGACATTTCCACGCTATTTTCGCTTGCACTGGTACTTTTCAGTATGGGCTCTTCGCTTGGTGGCTTTTTGGATTTTTCATCAACTATTGCATTTAAATCAGGTTCATTGCCATCGAGACAGTACAACAGGCTTGGACTCAGCTGTGAGTCGTTTAAATCTTCTATATTTTTCTCCGGCGTACCGAAATCATCGGGTTGACTGGAGAATGATGTGTCCACCGGGCTGGCGGTGAGAACGCTGCGACTGCGTAAATATTCTCTGTTTTTGAGTTTGGAATGAAACAAAAAATGATAGGGAATTTAAAAATATTTACACATTTTTGTTATATTTACATACTTAAAATTGTTACTAAGCGCGTCCACTTTCACCACGCTGGGCTCATTGTGTTTCAACGCCGCCAATGCTGGTAAACGTGCACGCATCAATTCCGTATAGCTTTCCAGAGAGGTGGCATCTTCGCACTGCAAATGTGGGGCTGCGTCTACTTCGCTTCGCTGTATATAGTCTGCGCTGGCACGACTATGCTTGCTCTCATCTTCATCCTGTTCACGAAAACTGGCAAAGTCTGTTTGGCAAATTGTTTGATTTTGATCGCTTGTACTGTGTGTGGTGGTGGTGAGCACCATGACCGGTTTGCGTGAACGTGGTGTCATTATGGATTCCTAAAAAAATATAGGTTAAATAATGTTGTAGTTTAAATATGTTTGGGTTTGATTGAAAATTATTGTATGAAGAATTATTTTCGTCTGTATCTTATGTGCATCATGCCGTCTCACCTGCATCGCTTTGGGCATGCGCTGTGTGGATTTTGTAATTGGCGACATTGAACGTCTGCCAAGCAACATTGAAGGCGTACTCGTTATTAGTTCCATATTTCTATATACGCCACTTTGCTGCAGTAAAAGGTGCTGATGATAACGCGATATGCTGCTGTCACTCGAATTACTATTGCTACTACGCCCATCCACAGCTGTAACGCCTACATTATACGCTGTTGCATAAACACTGTCGTAAGCTTCCACCTCCTCTTCTTCGTCTAGCACATCTGCATCGCTATCGCTATCCAAATGATCATCGGGATTGTCTTCAAAAGTTTCATCATCCAAATCCTCAAGACCCTCTGCCACAACTGCATTTGTTGCTTCTGCAGTTTCTTCTTTCCCCTTAGTGCTGACGCAGCCACTTTTTGACAACTCGTCCTCTCCGGCAGATCGTCGCATCAAAGTAGAGGACACACTTCGCACCAGCCGTTTCGTTGATTCAGGCGTGGCGAAAGAAAATTTCAGATTACTCATACTAACACCTTTCATTAGTTTACGTGTTAGGGAACGACTGCCACTGGCATACTTCGAAGTGCTCTCCTGTGTGTTCGCGCGCATAGCAACCGTCTCGCTGGCGCAGCTCAAGTTCGGTTCCGATTTGTAGCGCGATTTGTAACCGGCAGAATTTTGTTGTATTGGCGTGCACGGGTTTGATATCTCCTCGATGTCTAGGAGATGTGCTTCATCCCAAGCTACAGTTTTGCGTGCGTCCGTAGCGTTGCCAGCTGCTGTTTGTTGTTTTGTTGTATCTGAAGAGAGTTTCAGTGGCGTACAACAACTGGCATCCCAGCGTAAGGCAAAACGGTTCGTGAAACCTGCGCCGGTATTAGATTCCTCCGAATTCTGACGACTGACGGGCGCGGAAACGGAGCAGTCGTACTTGGGCGCTGGTGCTAGTGGCATACCATCGCTGCTGGTTGAGGAGAGGGAAGACGATTCAGACACTTCATCATTCACATTCTGTTGAAGTGTCAATTTGTGTTGTTCCGTTGCAGACGAATGTGAAAGCAGCGAGTTTGATGAGATGGATTTATGTAGCGGATGTTGATGTAGTGATTTCGTTGAAAATGGTGTGGTAGACAAAGATGAGGTCGATGACGCGCATGAAGATGATGGTGTGTTAATGTGCGTGCGATTAGTGACATGCAAAGACTGAGTAGTTGTTGATGTTGACGTTGATGATGAGGATGATCTGATAGGTGTATTGGCAACTGAGTAAGAGTTGCTGATTTGGGAAAGTGCTGGACTACGGAATAGTACTCGTAATTTTGGATTTTTATGTGTATTTGCGAAAATTGGTGTCTATAGGGTTTAGCAAGCAGTAGAGGTTTGGATAAGGTATTGTAGTTTTTGTAGAGGACAAAACAGATGAACAGAATGAAAAGAATGTAGAAGTACATGCGATTAACATAAATAATATAGTTATAAAATTCACACAAAATACTCACTTCAACGCCAGCTGGTGGTGTTGTTGTGGCCGCGGCGGGCCGTTTTGGTGTTCTTGAAATGAGACCTTTATGGAAAATGTGTTTCTTGATAGAGTCGCCTATAGATTTGGCGCTGCGCGACGCATCTGTGCCCTTCAATCGATTCATAACCACCAATTGGAGCGGTGTACCTGCCCCAAAGGGAGACAAATTAAAACGAAATGCTTAAAAAACAATCTCCAAAACAAGAAACTTACCCTGTCCGTTTTGTTTATTGAACTGTTTGATGAGTCGTCGTTTTTTTGATGATTCGGGTAAACTCTGTATGTGAGCATACAGTTGCGCCAACTCAGTGTCGGTGTTGTTAGCAGTGTGTGCGGCAGCCGTTTTCTCGCGATCGACAAACGTATAAACTGTATTCACCGTTGACATATCCGATATAGATTCGTCGAGTGTTTGTTCCGGCGACATTGTTTTCTTACGTTTACGCTCCATAAAATAGGCGCGTATGTCGGTTGATAATTTTGCCGGCATTTCAAATATTTCCTGGCCTTTGCATACCATATAAGCGATAATGCTCGACATGGTTTTAGAAATATAGTGCAATGCCTCCGGTGGTAGATTTCGTGGACATATAAGATGCGGCGCAAAAATTGTAGCCAAATTTTCTGGTGTCATTTTATTTTGATTTTGGAATGTTGATACGGCATGGAGAATTTCAATAATATGCTGCAATAATTGCCTATTTTCGTCCGGTAATAATAGCAAAAGTAGTTGTATGGAATTGAGCAAGTGTTGCTCACGTTTAATACGTTCCGGGTTGTGAGGACGTGTCAAAGTGCCTGTACTGCTGCTGCTGTTTGAGCCGGAACCTAGACATAATGGTGCAATTTGTTGATGTGCAGGATAATGTGCATCAGTTAGTAACGGTTCAGGTAAGTCGGCGAGATATCCTTTGAATACTGTTGCGCAATCGTGTGCTGAGTAGCCACCTCCTTCCAAATCGAGAGGCTTGTCATTTTGCACCTGTTGACGTAACTCATTTTGCCTGGAGGCAGACCCGGTTTTACGAAAAATTCCTTCTTGTGTTAAATCTACGAATTGTATTTTAATAGTAATTTTACAGTGTATGAACTACGAACTTCTCCAAGAACTTACTTTTCTCCAGTAACAGAAACTGTTTCAGCTCCTCTAAATGCATTAGGAAACCTGCATTAATTTGTTGATTTAAAAGTTCTACTGGACTATTTTCGGCGCTAATAGAACCCTTTGATGCATTCGTGCAACTCGTAGATGCGTGCTTCTGTTTCTTCGATAACCGATTCCACTTTTTCAGCTTGCCTTTGTCCTCATAAACAATTTCATGGCAGGGTAAATCAAATCTGAGATTAGAAAAAATTAATGGATATTGAGTAACGCATAGATATAGATGCATCAAAATCTATTTAAAGTTTTTTTTTACTCACTCATCGGTATTCAAGTCAAGTTCAAATGATAGGTGCATGCGCACCAATGACTTGAATTTTTCATAATTTAGTTTTCGCATATGCGCCGCTATTTCCCTGTCCGAAAGCCTGTTCAAATTCACATAATCCAAATCCATTGTATCGGTTGATAGTCAACTAAGGCAGCTGCGCCTGTGCGGGTGCTACAAATATATATATGGGCGGCGTTCAACAACGCCTTTATAGTGTTGTTGTTTTGCGCGGCAGAAGCACTTGTACAAAAACAACTGGAGAAGAAAAAACGATGTCACCCTACTTTATAGCGTAGGTTTGGTAAACGATGTGTTGTTCAAACACGATTTTATTAATTACATTTTATTATTATCTATTTACAAATATTTGAAATGCTATTAATTAAATAAACCCGCAAATAACTCAAAAAGCGTGTATAAAATTTAAGCGAATGAAGCGAATTCTAACTAAACCGCTGACATTTAAAAATTAATTGTATAACACAGATACCCTCAAACTGTGTTAATAAAGTTTTAAGCGCATTGCAAAAGTCGTTCACATTTTACAGGATGACCCAAGTGGAAATGAATTAGAATTAGATTTATAATGCCAATATTCACGTGCCGAAAACTTTTGGTGCCACACTATGCTTTTATAATTTCGTGCATTTGTTTTCATGCAAAGCAGGAATAAACAGCCTATCACAGGGAAATACAGTGAATATCACTTCTAACGCAGGTCATACGAATGTAGAAGGTAATGAAAAGGCAGATAAGCTGTGCGCGTCACCATCGTGGAACACTTAAGGCACTGGACCAAACTCTTACTAGGACTAAGCAAAAGAGGTCTTACACGTATTGAGATTGATCGGAACTTTTCCTATATTGCCTTGTCGTTCAAGCTCTCGTTTTGTCCGACAGTACTGTTATAATAAGATGTGGATGAATTCTCTCAGCGGGCGGAGTTGCAAGGCCAGTAGTAAGCTGCACGGTGATTGCAGATTCCCAACTTCGAGCCCTCCAAGTGTTTGTAGACTCGCGATTTTCTCTTCGTTACACAGAGGTGGATGCGTGGCTCACAAAATAGTAGTCTAGGTGGATATTAGAACTCCCGGGGGAGAACATGATTTAGTTATGAGCTTTTCAATCCGGTAGCAATCATGTGATTTGATTTTTTTGTGCCGTAACCTGTTGTTACAGATATTATAATTAAGTACATATCAAAGACCTGTCGGTTTCTTAACTATTGATTCTTCGCCCAACTGCAGCTGTAATCAGTAACCCCGATCTTGACCTTCTCGTCCACCGCATATCTAAGCGTGTTTCCAGCATTTCCAAAATGCGTCAGTTCTGACAAATCCGAGTACATCAAATGGGCAGCTACATGCTCCTAATTAAGGAACCGGATATGAGGGTTACCTTTTATATTTCGACATCAGAGAATATCAATCATCGAAAATCGCTTCATTCTTTTTCAAAATATTCTCCATCTGAGTCAGCTGTCGAAGCAATTTTGTCATTCTGTTTGAGGTGTCTCCAAATCATATGTTCTGAACTAATCAACCGCCCCTTCAGGTGTCGCAAAACGTTGACTCAGTTAAATTTGTATGTGCTGGAATAAAAACCAGACATTCGAAGCCAAGTCAGGACTATACAATGGATAACTCATCAAATTCACAGTCCTGCTGAACAGTGGTCCGTCTTCGATGGTTGGTTTTGCTGATCTGTTGAAAGACAACTGGCAAACTAATGCTTGTGTATCACTCAGCGTTGTTCTAGTGGTACGGCTGCTAAATGTTCAGTTTCTCCAAGAGACAGACACAATTTGCTTGGAAGTGTTTCAGGGGCGAACCATTTTTGCCAACGAAGTGTATGCGGGATCCGACGTGAATGTTTTTTTCCAGGCAAATGTTCATGCCTATAGTTTTTTCAATCTCACGACGATCATATGACGATCTTGCAATATCAGTTTGTGCACAGCATCAATAGTTTCCAGAAGAACAACTTATTTTGGCGACCTTCACGAAATTCGTCTTTGAATGATGTACGACTTGGATTGAATTCACCATACCATCAATAATCACTGGTCCTTGATGGAGCCTCTCCGACAAAAATTGAATTAAGCTCATCGATGCTGAGTTAATGTTGAGTTAGTACTCTTCGAATGTTGTAAACTCTTTTTTTTTGTTAACGGAACTCGCAACATCTCTTCGCCGCAGTCGGAAGTTTCTGGATGAGTTGTGCAAACCGTTAATTAATGGGTTGGGATGATTTCTCAGTTTTGTGAGGTACTCCGTTCTGTTTCTTTCAACTTCAGGCTCAACCAGATATCAAAGTTTTTATATATTTATGCCAAGTGCTTAAATATTAAAGGTAACCCAAGTTTTACCGGAGCTTGCATGTTGCTATTTCATTCGATATTTTTTTACGCGACGGGTTCAAAGTCCAACATCTGCTTAAATTAGCGGTACTCCCACAATAAGCTCGACAACGAAAGGCTCGGTAAGTGATTTTTTCTAGGTTATATGCAGGCTAAGCTAATTATATGTAACACCTTCAGTCGAAATATGCACTCGAAAAAATTCAAACAATGGAAAAAATGTGTTGAATTTAAAACATGCGCAACCACACATCTCCACCACAACCTCAGACACACACACACTTGCCGACGCAATCAAGTAATAAATTTTGCACTTTTGCTGGCCTTCTCGGTGAGACCACCAAAGGTATGCAGTGCGGCCAACACCATCACTAGTTGGTTGGGCTGATTCACGAAGATGAATGTGAGCACACCTCCGACACCTCTGCATATGCACACCAACAGCACAATAAATTCCTGCATTGAAAGCAATGAAAAATCATCGCGAAGAAAAAAATTGATGTTGGTAATCATAAATTTTACGAGCACCCGTTCTATAGATATATACATATGTATATATATAATGTAGAGGTTTGTGTGTATTTACTAGTGGGATTGCATGAGATCGTGTGCAGTGTGCAAATGTCGGTGGGATGAAGGGATATGTTAAAGGACAGACAACGCAAAGTGTAATCAATGCAGTCACCCAGCAACGCCATGGCTGAAAGGTAATGTCAGCGTTACGGATTTATGTCCGCATCACAAACTGTTGATTTGCCTTTGAAATTATGGAACTATTTTTTTTTTAGGAAGCTATACCTAAACACTCTTCTTCGCCTTAATACAATAATTCTAGTGAATGCAATGGAGCGCGTCCTTTAAGGAAAGGATGATTTGTCTTTGTTTGGGATGCTTGCAGAGGCCCGATGGAACGTGGACAGGGTCTGCGGAGGAAACGCTCAACCTTCTCATAAATGCTCACTTTCCTGATGCAGCTATAAGCAGGACATCGGAACTAACATGGAGTAAACCAATGCCCATAGTGAAAGATCTCTTAGCAGAAAGCAAGATTAAGCAGACGATTAATACGTTTAAACCCTATAAAAGCCCAGGACCTGATGAAATTGCATCTCTTCAGTTACAGCAGTCCTTGAGTATTAGCGTCAGCTGGCTGTATGCTAAATTGAAAGGAGCCTTCGGTCTAAATTACATACCCAAACTATGGAGGGAATAGAACTTGTCTTTATTTCCAAATGTGGTAAGGTGACCCATAACAAACCGAAGGATTTCAGATCTATAAATCTAACATTCTTTCTACTTAAAGTAGCGGAACGGTTGATTGAGATTCACATCAGATCTAATGTGGATCATAATCTCTCGAAACAGCGCTGCACACGTTTGTATCCCAAATTCAGTAATCAAAGAATATATCCTAGTTGCTTTTCTGCGTATTCAAGGTGCCTTCTATTATAAAGCGCTAAATGCAGTTACTTCTACTCTAACTTGCCTGGGTGTCGACCCCAGATGCTCAGATGTAGTGTTGTGAGATCTGAGATTGCATGCATGACGGTACTTAGGTATGCCAGCAGAGGAACCACACAAGGTGGAGTTCTCTCGCCACTTCTATGAGTCTTCGTAGTGAATCAACTGCTGTTATTGTGAATGGCAAATTCCCATAAACCCTAAACGTTGTTATGAAAAGCGGAATGAGGAGGATAGAAAAGTGGCTCATTGATGTTGGGTTAGGCATCAACGCACAGAAAATTGAACTTGTTCTTTTCACTAAGAAGTATAAATGCGCAAGTTCACAACATCAACTATATCGGGAACGGACCTGGGCATTGTCAACGAAATACCTTGAACTCATTCTGGACAGAAAATAAAGCTGATCACAGAACTCAGAGGAAAGGATGCAGCGGGCTTGACAGGCCCTTTCAAGAGGTGACCGCAATGTGAAAAATTAAATTTCTACCCCTCGACAATTGCGGTCGTCCAATACTGCGTTGGCTTCATATTTCATGAATCAGTGCTTCCAAGACTTGCCCAAATTTTAATTCTTGGCTTATTAAGCGATCGAAACAGAGCCAACGGCTCTTAGTACATGGAGCTAACTAATTTACTACAATATTATAGCAATGGGCATCAAAGTAATATATCTTAGGTTCTTTCTTTTATTATGCTCTCCCTGGTGGAAGAGAAAGATCCGCGCGCTTAGGATTGCACTGTCTCTGCAAGGTTGGTAAAATCGCATGTGAATATTTCAAGTCCAGGGCGAGCAAAGTAAGTATATTTGACACAGAAATCGAAAAAATTAATCTGTAGTCTCCTTAAGTGGACTGGGACTGACCGATTTGGCTGGCGCCCGAAAAATTTCCATCTGTAATGCTAATTTTACAAAAACATTCGGACGAAGTAATGCATCCGCCTCTGGGCAGCAAAGAGCAGTCATTTATAAGACGAAACTTAGTTTTGGGGAAACTCAATATATGTTAGTATTACAAATTCCCCAAATCGGTTAACGTACATCACCCTTCACTATTCGGTGTTTCTGGAGTTATATTAAGAAGTCCAAGCAGGCTGGGAACGTTTTTGACTACCATACGTTTGGGAGTAACCAGAAACGTGATTATTTTACATACAGTTGACGCATTTCACAACTTCTGGTTTTAGAGCAAGTAGCCAATAAAATCCGCTTGAAGAGAGACCCACCGTTTGATGACGACTCCAACATAGCACACGTTGGTTTTATATAAAATACAGAAATCTACTGTAATCCAATACCTAGTCA